GATTGGTCAATTTCTTACTCTTACTTCTTACTCCGTGTATTGTAGACGGGCCTTAAGGCGTTGTCTACAATATGCGAAGTAAGCTTGGTTTAAGAAGTAAGAGTAAGAAATTGACCAATCACAGTCGATCGTGAAAAGAATAATTGACTGTGGTTGATCAATTTCTTACTCTTATTTCTTAAATTAAGCTTACTTCGCGTATTGTGGACAACGCCTAACGGTCAAAGCTAGATCTTTAATGCTTAAATAATTTCACCTGAGTTACTATGTATACTATATATGTACTTGCATATACATACCATATTGCAGTCTTTCGAACTGCGCGCCGAATTGTTTTTCCGGACTAAACGCAATTAAACTACTGTAGTAATATCACGAATTAAATTGGCAAGCAATTTTAATAATTTGATGCTCGATCAGAGGGTCGATTCTGTATCTTCAAACAAGGTGAAAATTACAAAAGTGAGCAAATTTACTAGGTGTTGACCAATGAAATGATCAGTATTCTAGTAAATTCGCTCACTTTTGTAATTTTCACCTCGTTTCAAAATACAGAATCGATCCCCAGGCATCCTATTAAAAAGATATTAATATGCTCGTACGGAATACAGGAGATCCTGGTTCGATTTCCGGCCGAGGTAATATTTTTCGCAATAAATTTATAATTTTTTAGTATATTAACATCTTTTTTAATAGGATGCCTGATTGAGCATCAAATTATTAAAATTGGTTGCCAATTTAATTCGTGATATTACTACAGTAGTTTAATTGCGTCTATAAATCCGGTAAACCAATTCGGCGCGCAGTTCGAATGACTGCAAATATGATATACCTATATGCAAGTACATATATAGTATATACAGTAATTCTGATTGAATTATTTAAGCATTAAAGATCTAGCTTTGACTGTTACGGCTATTACTTTTATTTCTTAAATGTTTAGCAATAAAAACGGTTAACTTATGAATAGTAACACTTTTTGCATATAGACATGTATACTATTTTATATTTTATTTCGATACTTAAAACAAATAAATCTTTTCGGGATGGCATTATTTGTAAGATTTGACAAATTTTTAAACTTTTTCATAATATTTTCATAATAAATTTACGTAATAACAGTATTGTTATAAGGTAGTGATTAAATAACACCCACGGACACATTTAATCTCAAGCAAGCATAACGTCGATTTTTTCCATAAAATCTAATGCTATTTACTACCTACTATAAAAGCCATAACGCAATTCTTATGATATTACATTGTGAATGAATTTTTAAAGATATATTTGTTCGTTAATCTCGCATATTCAATTAGTTAACGACATCAATAAAATATGCAGCTTTTTTCCTAATAAATTAAATTTAATATTAGCACTTGAAAGAGATAAAACAAACGTTAAAGAATCTTGTCATGTGTATATACCATTTAATGGTAAAAATACTATAATTATTTAAATATAAAAAGTGGTTAGTGCCTGATCTACATCTAGTGCTTTTACCCTACTTCCAAATTAAATTTTATTTGCAGGGACTGTACGTCTAATACATTTTAAAACATTTTTGGATAACTTTTAAACGTATATTATAAAAAAATAAAAATAAAAATTATATGAAAACGCGTGAGGAAGAATATGAGACGAAAGTTATTAACATAATGATGATGTATAATATTTACATAACTTCGAAACTGTCTGTAATAATAGATATTACTGTCTATTATAAAATATTCTTAAATCCAGAGAAACATAAGACGTCTTATAAGATGTTTTATGGTCGTTTCCACCTATGTAGATTAACTTTAATCTCAGTTCAATTTATTTTTTATCTTTTTCTAATTTTTAGAACTACTCGAAAAAATGAATATGTTGAACTCAGATTAAAAGTTGATGTACATTGATAAAAATGGGTATTAATATTTTTTGGGTTATAAAAATTCTATTTTTTAATTCTATATTGTTCTATCTACACTCACAAGTGTTTTAAAACGTATTGCGAGAGAGCCAATCGTTTCGCGAAACAATAGACGATGGGTGGTTGCGAAACAGATGACTACGATGGCGATGGCAGCGGCTAGTAACATCTATGTCCGAATGGTGGCAGCGATGTAGTGGCACGACGCGGCGAACGAAACTACCCTTCTGTCAGTCCAAAAGTCATCGCGTAAGCTTGCGGGTGGAACGCGACGTATGCGGAAGTCGTGGTAAGCTATCACCGCTGACACCGTCATCGCGCTGCTACTACGCACACACACACACACGCACGCACGCACGCACGCACGTACGCGCGCGCGCGCACACACACACACACAACACACACACACACACACACACACACACACACACACACACACACATGCACGCACAGGGTGCGTTTCGAGTTACGCATGATGCATCATTTGTTCTTATTGTTCACCAATTAATAAAGAACGATAAAACGATATCTACATTATGCACTTTATGCGTAACTCAAAACGCACCCACACACAAACGCGCGTGCGCGCGCACACACACACACACATTCGTTTACAAAAAATACGTGTGTGGGTGTATTATGTGCACACGGGTGTATTATGTGCACACGCGTGTACTTGGCTGCCGCTCTACATATCTATTTGATTTCTGTCTATCTGCATTCTCTAAGTACTGGTGTGAATTCGTATGAATAGTGATCTAGTTTTATAAACAGAAAATACGCACTTCAAAAGGAATTATAGTGCTACGAGAGGCGAAGCGACAAAACGACCAACTATTTGCGCTCTTTCGAAATGTATTTGCTCTCGGTAAGTCTTTTGTGAAAGTTCGCCAAAAACTTGCTTACAAGTAATAATAGCGGCGCAAGATTATCTTTTACAGAATTTAGGAGTTAGAGAGTGAAAGAGAGAGAGAGAAAGAATGTATACGTGTGTGTATGTGTGTGAGATGAAAATATCTTTACATTTGATCACATTAGTTGGAACAGAACTCCTCCATTCAGTATCTTATTAACTCTCTGAGTGTTGCCTTGAACCAAGACAAAGTTGTGCAATATTTATATATAATATTCTTCTATATAATACTTATAGAGATGTATAGCTCACATTGCAGTTACTAATAATATAAGTAATTACGTGTTATCAAAATTATTGACCGTGTAAAGATTCACTTTGAATTACATTTATGATAGACAACACGTTTTTTTTTACCGAAAAATCACTAAATAAATAGTTAAGCAGTGGAAAACTGGTTAACTATTTATATCAGTGATTTTTCCTGATTCTATCGAAAAAATCGAATATATAAAACGTGATCGAAAATATATTGTAATATATCGATATTGTAATATATTGAAAATAATCATCAAAGCAAATTTAATACACAGTTTTTTTTAATTGTACTTTATGCAGTATAAATCGTTATTGTCTCTATTTTTCACTGAAAGTATCACTGTGAAAGTCAATCAATTTAATGTCAAAAAATGTATTTTAGCAAAGTGATACACACATAAATTACGATAATAATTAGGTATGAAATATATATATAATTATCAGAATTATTAGACTTATTAGATAACTTATTATTAGTAAAATGTACTTAATATAAGTACATTTTAATAAGACAAAGTTTTGAAAATGTCATAACCGAGTCACTTCGTGTACAAAGTTTATATCAGAAGACATTAGTTATAACAGATATCTTTTTTGACAAAATTTATGTTAATAATTTATAATTCAGTATTCTTTAATATTAATTTTATATTTTATTAGAAATACGTTAAGAAGAGCTAACATATTTCTAATTAATTTATTATTTGAATCATTTACATTATGTATTTTATATTCTATCTTTTGTAGATTACAATAGTATAACACATATTTCGATCAATCATATACCACAATTGCTTTTGCTTACTTTAATACATTTGATTTGATGTTTAAAGTTTAATGTTTTAAGTGTTAAGTTTGATGCTTTAGTATAAATGTACTGAATAAAATTATATATTTAAATACATGTATTAAGGAAACTGTTTTACTGACAATAGAACTTACACACTTACAAATGTTTTACGTGCATCGACATATCACTCTACATCAATATCGCACGTTTACACACAACTGTGATTAAAGTATTGAAACTGGCTCGTTTAAATTGTGCGCTTCAAAAATATAGTGCTCAGTGATCGACAATTGACAATTCGAGATATGATTGAACATATTGGAATATCATTTAATTCATGTTAATCGATTTTAAAAGTTAATTTGAGCGTGAGACGCATCGCATTTTGCATTGTTATAAAAACGAAAAAGATTACAAGATTTTTTTCCTGTCTTGTTTGTGATTTTTTGGCCAAAATCTTACGAATACTATTCCACAAGTTTCATATTCGCCTATTATGTACCGTGTGATTTTTTCCTATTCCCTCGATTTCCTTGACTGAAATTACCGCTTCGTGGACACCGTTTTAAATCAATAGGCGCGATAAAGGAGAATTCGCTGCGCGTTCTGAAGGCTATACCTGAAATCGATTATATAAAAGGTGCTTCGAGAATTGAAAAAAATGTTGGCATTAATGTACTGCTGTGTATGCACGCGCGTGCGTGCGTGCGTGCGCGTGTGTGTGCGTGCGTGCGTGTGTGTGTGTGTGTGTGTGTGTGTGTGTGTGTGTGCGCGTGCGTGCGTGCGTGCGTGCGCGCGCGCGCGTATGGGAGAGGATTATTTTAAAAGGTATAAAATAAATTTAGGAGAATAATTTCTTATTTTGCGTTTTATTGGACCAGCTCGGTACTTTTTGATCACAATAGTACACAAATTTTTGTAGAACGATTTTGTATAGGATTAGATATCCAAGTGTAATTCTAAGAATTCTACAATGTTTCTTTGAGTAATCTACTAATTTCCAACTTCGTAAGTACAAATTGCAGAAATTTTGGTAAAACTGCAGAAAAGGAGAGCACCCGCCGACGACCTTGACTTTGACATATGTTGTCAAGGTCATCACCCTGAGTAATCTTCAACAAGTTTTATTCGTCGCTCGTTATTCATTAAAAAGTTATTAACAAAAAAAGTTTGAAAAAAAACGTTTTATTTCTGTTATATATAATATTAGAAACTATCCTACACTCTTCCTTGCTTACGTAATGACTTTCCACGTAAAGCAACTCCCACCCCACCTCCCCACTGCTTGGGGGGGGGGGGGGGGGGC